GGTAAAATTATTTACAATTTAATTAGTAAAAGACAAATTATCAGGATACATATTACACTTTAATTTTATCAAAACATTTTTTTATTTATCACATAAATATTGATATAGAAAAACTCACGTTTTCGTTCTTCGTTATTTATAATAAACAGATAAAAATAATCATTCTTTCTAAATGAATATATTCTTCTAGAATATAGATTTACAATATGAGTTTATGCATTCATGGTAAACTCGTAAAACATTCTTTTAGAATGTAATATTTTCCATAACAAGAATTTGTAATTAGAGACAAAGAAGCATATATTCTTAAAAAAATGTAAAATTATAATTTTTCCACAATTCAATTTACATTCTTGAAGAATAAATTTATATTGGGTATTACTTTGAACATTTCCAGGATACAATTCAATTTCCATTATGACTATTCTCATTCTCGAAAATAGTCATGAATTACAAGTTCATATATGATATTTTTAAGAATAATAGTTACCTTCTTGAAAAAAAAAAAAAAATGTTCTTGAAGAATAAAAAATTAAATACAATTAAATAAAGTTCCTAAAGAATAATATAATATTATATATATATATATATATATATATATATATATATATATATATATATATATATATATATATATATATAATACTTAATGATATAGCATGCCTACAACCAAGTGTAGAAAAAAATACAGAAAATATTATCTGTGAAAAAAAGTTTAACAATAATGGAAAAAAACTCAACATTTCATAATTTGAAACATTTACATTTAAGTGCATAATTATAAAAATAATGGAAACGATTTCTAGATACATGTAATATCAATGAAACAAAGAGGTAAAAGCATACATATCAAAGAAGATATGCAGAGAAGCATTGAAGTTTTGGTTTGATATCTTTAACCAAATTAAAACAATTTTAATTTGATCTTCCATCGGAATAGCTACTCACTGAAGAAACAAACCTCATCATTCTGCTTCAAAATGGGTGCAAATACATAGATGATCATACTAGTTTGAACATAAATTCAAGTCAACTGGTATAAATAATGCTACCTAATTATCAAAGGAAAAAAAAAGATTAATGTAGAATACGTCGAAACATGAATTTCTCATTACACTAACCATTCATAAGGTTGATGGTTGTTCACCCCATTTTTGAAAATATTTCCAAACCCAAGACACTATCGTTTCTAATGGGCTCTCTTAAAAATACAAATACTTGGATCCAAGATACCACCTAAAAAGGTTAATTTCAAAAAATAAATAAATACACGAACATCTTTTAATCAGCTTATCCTAGAGTTCTTGAAAAAAATCACAACCCAAGATCAATCAAAAAAATATTATATAAGAAAGAAGTTGTGCATCAAGTAGTGGTTAAGAGAAAAGTCAAACTGACATTCTATTAAATCTATAATCTCCAAGATTTTTATGTTCTTTTTCATAAATTCTAAGTAGATTGATATGCATTTAAACTCTCATAACCAACCATCTGACCTAAAAATTTACAAACATTACATAAGCAAATATCCATAGACAAACCTATTTGTTTAAGTGTTAATTGAAGTCAAACATGTACGGATAAAGCTACTAGTTTCTTAAAAGGCAAAAACAAAATAGATTAATAGAGAATGCATCCAAACACTGTAAATCATATGAGTTTCTTTGTTTTCATCATAAGAATATAACAAATTTTATAGTATAATTAGATTTTAAGGAAGAATAACCTAGACATTAAGATTTTTTAGTCAATATCCTCTTGAATTTTTAGTTTCAGGTCAACAACATAAATGAAAAACTATGGATTCCTTTCTCATTGTGTGTCTCTGTTTGTTCGTTGAACACCCACCCACATAAATCATATGAATCTTTTTATTGTGATCACAAGAATTCTAAGAGCAGATTTTAAAATATATCTATTATATTTAGCATTAAAAAAAAACTTGACATTAAGTACCTTCTTGAGTTATGAATCACACATCAGCAAGAGAAACTAAGAACAATGGATACCCTTCCCTTTGCATGTCTCTATGTGTTCGTTCAACTACCCATTCTTTAATTGAGTCTGAATTGTAGGGTTGCATGTTTGTTCCCCAATTGATGAAGAAGGACCAAGGTCAAAGAAAGAATTGAAGAAAAAAACACAGAAAAAGGGTTCAATTTCAATTTAATCGTCTATGGTGTATATCGGATGGTTGGAGGAAACCATGGATTCTAAGCGATTGTATTGGATTCTGGTGGAATGATGAAAGAGTAAATCATATAAGCAGGGATGCATTCCATAAATATAAGCTTATAATTTTGTCTTATTAAATTACTTAATTATTGAATTTAGCAAAATAACCCTATCTATTGATAGGTCTAGAATTTACCATACATTAAACCAATAAGTAGGGGTTATATATGAACACAACTCTTTGTCTCTCTCTCTCTCTCTCTCTCTATATATATATATATATATATATATATATATATATATATATATATATATATATACACACACACACACACACAGAGAGAAAGCTAGGTTCAAACGTTTCTTACATCTATTGTGTGCTAGAATGCACTAAATGATATCCATAATTATAATTTCTTTTTTTTATGTAAACTAATTAAATTCGTCATTAATATTAACACTACTATTATTTTAGAATAAATTGGCATCTAGATTTTAATTCATGGGTTCATATTTTGTTTCATGACCCACTCACTCAAAATACAACAAAGTTGTCTAGAACAAGGAAAAGGAAAGTGTATTCAAGTAGAATGAGAATATATTCTAACATAATGATAATAATGGAGTGTATTTTAGTAGAATACACTCTCGTTCTTCATATTCCATGCTACATTGTTGTATTTTAAGTGAGTGAGTCCATAATCAAAACATGAACCCATACATCAAAACCTAGATGCTAATTCATTTTGAAAGAATGTTATTGCTAACATTAATAATGAATTTAATTAGTTACCATAAAAAGAGAATTATAATTATGAATATCATTTAATATACATACAATTATGGAAATCATTTAATTTTTATCTTTATATTATTAAATAATTATTTAATTTTACTAAATGCTTATTGGTGCATTTTAGCACACAATAAATGTAAGAAACAAATGAACCTAGCCCCATATATATATATATATATATATATATATATATATATATATATATATATATATATATATATATATATATATATAGTTCAAATAAAAACAACAAATAGTGTGAGAACGTAACACATTATTTTTATATTATTATTCTGCAATGAATTTTGTATCCACAGCTTGATAATGTTATTCAACAATGAATTAATAAATAGTGACCTGTTAAAACTAAAATTAGAATTTAGTACAAAAATGCACATACATAAATATATAATAGAACTATAACATTCTAATGAATATATGAATAATCAAACATTAATATTTATATTAGAATTACTTCAACAATACACATATACAATATTAATTATTGAATAATAACATAAACATATTGTTTTTACGTACTCACACTATTTCATGTTTTTATTTGAACTTACTTCTCTCTCTCTCTCTCTCTCTCTCTCTCTCTCTATATATATATATATATATATATATATATATATATATATATATATATATATATATATATATAGGGAAAAGTGAGTATACCTTACAGCAGGACATAAACTTAGGTACCTAATTGTCAAAACTACGTAGTTTTGTTTAATTATTTTATTTGATGAAAAAGAAAAATGTTATTTCCTGAAAAAAAAAAAAAAAAAAGGATACGTTCCAATTTTGTTTCCTTATTTTTATGAAAATAGATATCATATCTTCCTTCCTTTTCGATTGCGGCTGTGATCATCATCGTTTTCAAAAAACGATTACCATACGACTTTGCTGCTTGAAATCGGATTCCTAATAAATCACGAAACAAAAAAGGTTCGAGAATTGAATTGGGATTTTGTCATACAACTACTAATCGATTTTGGGATTGAAGAAACAAAATTTCACAGAATTCGGATTTCAAAGGGTTAATTCAAGAAATCGAATTGAAGAAATTGTTTCATGAAATCGACCTCCTTCAAAAACTGCAAATACTCTGTTTACGGTAAATCTTGAAATTGGATTCCTAGTAAATAAGGATTTGCTTTTTGAAAAAAAAAAAAAAACAATTGCCAAGGCTTTGTTGTTTACTGATTTCAGAATTTTAATTTTGGGATTTTGTTTTTCATGTTTTCAGAATTTTAATCTTGGATATTGCTGTTTTCGGACTTTGAAATTTGTTGCTTTGTCTTATTTGTTCGGAGATTTTAGAGCTAGACATTGCTGTATTTTTAGAGCTGGACATTATTGTTTTTTTAGAGCTGGACATTGTTGGTTGTTCTGTGTTTTCTGAAAGGTAAATATCCAATGTAATTAAATTTTGTATATTCTTCGTTCTCATTGTGATTTTTAAGTATAATGATTCAATCTTTACTAATAGTAAACAAAATGATGTTAATCTTTTATTTAGAAACATGGATCATGGTCTTGTGTAGGCCATAATGGTTGAAACCGAAGCAAATGATCACGCTATTGAACTACATGTAACTAAAGATATTGACACAAATGATTTCGTAGAAGCAACACGTGAATCTGAAAAAATTAACGATGTTGATGTGAACATTGAGAGTGACGACAATGAAGTTAATGATGAAAGTATATTGGGAAAGGTTTTCGATACCGCGGAAGATGCATATGACTTTTATAATGATTATTCGTTTTTACATGGATTTGGTATACGTAAAAATGACATATTTAAAAGCTTGAAAACAAATGAGCCTTTTCGGAAGATTTATGTATGCAACAAAGAAGGGTTCAAACGGATTAAAAAAACAATTCAAGTGAAAATGAGACAAAACGTCGTAGAGATGTTAGAACCGAATGTGAAGCAAGGCTTCGAATTACAATACAGAAGGATGGGAAATGGTTAGTGGACTTGTTTAACGACACACATAATCATGAATTGAGCATGACACCAACGAAGGTGATGAAGCATCGATCTCATAATAAGTTTCACCGTTCCATGGAATGTAAATCTCTTATGGTTGAACTTGGACAATCAGGGTTGAAACCTAGTATGGTTAAAAAGGCTATTAATGCAATGAAAACCTCAAATGAAGCCGATGTTACTTCAAAGCAATGTGCTGATGTCTTATCCGAGCAACGAAAACAACATAAAGGAAAAGAGTTTTATGGACTTATAAAACATTTTCAAGATAAAACATTAGTTGATAATGACCAGTATTTTTTCGTGGATTTGTGCGATGATGGGTGTCCTAAAAACATTTTCTGGGCTGATGGAAGATCACGAGATGCCTATACAAAGTTTGGAGATGTTGTTTTCTTTGATGTCACTTATATGACAAACAAATTCAAGATGCCTTTTGCTCCCTTTACTGGGGTGAATCATCATGGACAGTCTATACTTTTTGGTGGAGCATTACTAGAAAATGAAAAGGAGGAAACATTTGAATGGTTATTTGAGCATTTCCTCAAATGTATGTTTAACAAATATCCAAAAGCAATTATTACTGATCAAGACAAAGCTATGGGAAATTCAATAAAAAGAGTTTTTCCAAACACTCGTCATCGTTTTTGTGAATGGCATATCAAGAAGCATGAACCGGAACACCTCCGCCCTTATGTTTCCCGTTATAGTGATTTTCAAAAATCATATAGAGAATGGGTAAATAGTGAAACCATTGAAGAATTTGAAGCCACGTGGGAAGTTATACGTTGCAAATACAAACTAGAAAGTAATTGTTGGATAAGTGGCATGTATAATCAACGGATGCATTGGGTTAATGCTTACTTTAAGGATATTTTTTTGGCTGGTATGTCCATAACTGGACGAAGTGAGAGTATTAATTCATTTTTTGATGGATTTGTTAACTCAAGTACTATGTTGAATGAATTTGTAGTACAATATGACAAAGCAGTTGTGTCACGAAGGGCGGCCGAAGAAGATGAAGATTTCAAGACTATGAATTCGAGGCCGGTTCTGTCCTCAGTACATCCAATTGAAGCAAAAGCAGGTGAGTGTTATACCCGAAAGATTTTTGATATTTTTAAAAAAGAATGGATAGAAGATAATAATAATTTAACTCACGAGACACTAAGCAAAAGTACAGAAGAAAGCAAATATCAAGTTGGACGACTAGATGTTGATAAAACGTATTGGCGTATTGTTACTTTTCGTTATTTGAATCAAGTCAGCATCACATGTTCGTGTGCTAAGTATGAGACACATGGAATTTTATGCAAGCATAGTCTGTATGTGATGAAGAAGAGGCATGTTCAAACACTCCCTAATCATTATATTTTACCTCGGTGGACCCTTAATGCTAGGTACAAGGTAGGTAATGTTAGCATCAGACTCGGAGATATGAATACTGAAAATGAAGTTAGTACTTTCACATTATGGTGTGTCCGTTCAAATTTTAATAAACTAATTGAACAAGCAAGAGACTCCCCTTCGGAGATACAGAAACTTAATACGTTATTGATAAGTCTTTTAGAGGATCAAGTAGTACGAAAGAAATCTATATCTTTTGAGAATGCATCTCAAGGTTCTTGTATGGGAATTTCTCAAGTAGATATGATGCCACAGTTATTTATCCGTGATCCTCTTGGTCCAACTACTACAAAAGGGCGTCCTAAAGTTGCTAGTAGAATCAAGTCTCCTTTAGAAGCCCCCAAAAGGCGAACGTGCTCTTACTGTCAAGGATTGGGTCATTACGCTAGTAGTTGTTCAAAAAGAAAGGTACTTATAATAATAATAATTACTATTCATGATTTTAGAAGTATGATAATTATAATAACTATTTTTTTCATGTATCAGGCAGATGAATCGATACATGAGAAAGAAAAATGAGATGTGTTGTTTTTGTGAGCAAAAGAAAAAGCCATATGCTTCTTTATATATTTGACATTCTTTTTTGATTTATGATGTATGAATAATCTTGATATTTTTTATGTTTCTTAACATTTTTTATGTTTTCAAATGAAAATTGTTGATTAGTTCTGATTTGTCTGTTTAAAATTGATTGTTGGTTGTTATTATGGGATAAAAATGAATGTGTAATGCTAATATTGGTAAATAACGAAAGTATGATGCTATTGCGGGTTAAAAGTGAAAATATACAACCACAATAGGTTAAAAGTTGTATTAGGATGCTAATATGGGTTAAAAATGAAAATATTCAGCCATTATGGTTTAAAAATGAAAATATACAACCATAATGGGTTAATGGTGATATTAGGATGTTAATATGGGTTAAAAATGCAAATATTCGGCCATTATGGGTTAAAAGTGGAAACATACAACCATTGTGGGTTAAAATTGAAAATATACAGCCATAATGGGTTAAAAGTGATATTAAGATGCTAATATAGGTTAAAAATGAAAATATTCAGCCATTATGGGTTAAAAGTGAAAATATACAACCATTATGGGTTAAAAGTGAAAATATACAACCATAATGGGTTAAAAGTTATATTAGGATGCTAATATGGGTTAAAAATGAAAATATTCGGTCGTTATGGGTTAAAAGTAAAAATATACTACCATTATGGGTTAAAAGTAAAAGTAGGATGTCATTATGGGTTAACAATAAAAGTAAAAATAAAAGTTGGATGTTGTTATGGGTTAAAAATAAAATTGTATCCATGAACAAAAAAAATAAAAAATAAAGAAAGTCAATTTTGTCCCTATTACGCCTAAACAAGCGAACTATTATTTGTGCACACCAACGAATGATACATATCGCATAGACAAATGTGTTTAGTGAGGCTTGTACAAAACACAGTGACTAAATACAACCAAATAGGAAATCTGGAAAATAATTAAAAATCTGGAAACTAGGAACGTCAACAAAAAACTCAAATTTTATTAAGAAACATATCAATATCCATAAACAAAAAAAAAAAAATCAAAAAAGTAGTATTACAAACACATTACTTTTACCAATCATATTACCAACAAAACATTAGAAATAAAAACATAAAAGGTAAACTAAAATCTCTAAAAGCAACATTGTTGAGGAAAGTTAAACTTGATAAAATCTTGAACTACAGTTTGGCTTTTTTTCAGTGTCATAATTTTTAGCTCCCATTTCAACTGCTAATAGAATTAGAAGATTTAAATTCTTATCTTTGGTACCCTCTTCAGCTTCATTACTGCTCTTTTCATTGTCAGAATACCCTGAATTCAGTTTGTTTTCGGGAGTTTGATGAGAGTTTTCACCATCACTTTAGGGTTGTCATCCAACATCATATTTGTGAAATAATGTTGTTGAAATGGCATTACTGCATTGTTTATGAGTGGTTATCTTCTGAAATAACGCTCCATTTTGGTTTTGTAGTTCTTGGTAAACCTGAAACAAAAAAAAATTAAAAAAAATATATCAAGAATCGAACAGGACGTGAGATGATGAGATAACATGACTAGACAAAAATTACAACTTTTTTTTACACCAACAAAAAAGGAGGAACAATGTGGGACTGAGGCAGTGTCGGGTTGCTTCTTACCTCTTCCCTAATGTGACTTGATTTTCAGGGAGTATGACTTTGTTCATTTTTGGACACTGAATAGGAGTCCGTGCTTTTGCTTTAAAGTAGTAAACTTGTTCAAAATAATGAAGGAGTGACATGTAATACTTGTGCAAGATAAAAGAAGCCATTGTGAAAAGTCATACAAATGGAGAATCTGAACAAGTTACACGTGGACCAAGGGCACAAAGCGTAAATTCACGTTTTGAGTGATAACACCCTTTCTCATAACAACATATGTTTTTTAAGCCATTTTGAGAAAAAAGTTCACTGGTGCATTTAATCAAACACCTGGTGATCAGATATCTCAATCTAATGAAATAAGTAAAAAAAAAAAAAAAAAAAAGGGAATCAATCTAATGTAATCTCACCTGATGCGCAGGTGGAGCAAATTGAAAAACATAAAATTGAAAAATGCCTCAATTTGTCACATGATTAATCAGAGTTGAATTCACAATCTTAGTTGGATACAAAGTGGAATTGAACGAATCTGGTTGGATAACGAGTGGAATTGATGAATTTGTTGGACAAGCAAGCAGCGAGATCGATGGATGTTAAAGAGTACACAAATTCTTGAAATAGTGAGGCCCGATTGAAAGATTCTTCGAACCAACTTGAAGCCACATGAAGCTCTTTCTTTTTTCGATACTGATCAATAATCGAATTTTAAATGTGGCTGAGAATATCCGGATTTCGATGGTGAAGGCTTGCGAAACGGACGACGATGCGAGGTTTGTTTTGGGGTTTTTGGTGAACCCATTCCCAGGAACCATCGTCGTGGACGGGTGAAGATCACGAATATGTTCCTCTTTGAATATGAGAAATAAAACAAAAACATTGTTTGTGGGGTTAATCAGAAACTCGATGTCTATAAAATAAAAACATAAAGGAAACGACACCGTATTATATATCGGGTACCTAAGCTTATGTCCTGCTGTGAGGTATACTCACTTTTCCCATATATATATATATATATATATATATATATATATATATATATATATATATATATATATATATATATATATATATATAAACACAAACTCACCACTACTAACCGAATAAGAAATTAAGATGCTTACCTCCATGAGTCCTACTTATTGGTCGCTTTAATTTAGCTTGTCATGAATGAGGGTGAGGTAGAACGTAGAATTCGTCGATTGATTAGAATCAGGATCAGAGGGAAGTGTCGCACACACTCGTAGTAACATTCATTGTCAGTTATTGTTGTTTCCGACTGGGTCAAAACGGGGAATAAATGAAATTGGGCAATTAAATGATTTTGAGCTAAGAATATTGCAGATAGTGGGCTTAAATTCTGCAAAAAATTAAAACAGTCTAATAATGTGAATAGCGAGATATAAACGAGATATCAGTTTTGAAATAGCGGATAAATTGTGTCCTTTATCGGCGGTAATCTCGGAATCGCTATTTTGAACCGATATATATATATATATATATATATATATATATATATATATATATATATATATATATATATATATATATATATATATATATATATATATATATATATATATATATATATATATATATATATGAAAAAGTGAATATACCATTAAAGGTATATAAGCTTAGATATTCAAACGCACCATAATACATCGTTTCGTATCATATATGCATTATAGTGTTCTTAAAGTTCAACCCTAACTTGATTTACTTTCAAGGTTTTCTAAATTTCACTATTATTTTCCTCTTATATCATATCTTTCTGCCAAACACCTACTATGTTATATATATTGTAGTTGAAAATGAAAATTATATAAGAGGAAAATAACTGTGAAATTTATAAAAAATTTGGAAGTAAATAAAGGTAGAAATTAAATTTTAGGAACTTTGGTCGATTACAATATATGTATGATACAAAACGATGTTGTATGATTAGTTTGATATGTATCTTTACTACTTATAAAAGAAATCTAATTATTTCTATAAATAGATTGAATATAATAATATTATTTTTTAAGACGTCCAAACTATTAAGCTTGAAGTACAACCCATTTATAATATAATAATATTAAAACTTTAACCCTATCATTTATCCCCTAAAAATCTCGTATCAAATTAATAGAAAAATTAATTTGCAAATTGAACCCGTCAATCTCAACACTTCAACCATTTGAAGCGGTCAATGTCAACAATTTATAGAGGATCTTTTTTCTCACATTGGTAACAAGTCATCTCATAATATTTATCTTCGTAATCCCTTCAAAGTAAGAAATATACGCACACTCTCTCGAAGAACCCTAACCAGTAACCAAGACAGTATAACCACCACCACCACAGCCGCTCTGCCTCCTTCCGCCTTCAACCAACCACTATCACGACTACCGCCATTCCTCTCACCCACGGCATGAACTTTCTTTTGGAACATAACATTTTTCTTTAAAAAAATATCGTTGAAAGAAGCTATTTGTCCCCGCTGCTGTGCGCGGGTAACAGCTAGTATATATATATATATATATATATATATATATATATATATATATATATATATATATATATATCGGGCTATGTTGTTTTGTTTCTTACATCTATTGTTTGCTAGAATGAATAGATTTGAACCATTTTATGGAATATAATCAGTAGTCATGATCTGAGAGTCTATGATATTACAATGGAATAGCATGTACCATATAATTACACAAATTTCAGCATAAGGGTATTCTTGACAATTAACTATATTTAAAAAAGAAAATTTTTGGATTTTTAGGGATAATTAATTCTCATAAATTTAAAAATCTAGATTTTTTATATTTATTCAATTTTAATTCTAAAGTAATTTGTAAACATAACCGATTTTATTCCGTCAGAATGTTTTTTTTTGTTAGAATGATATTCTTTCGGAATTTCATTCTATTAGAATATTATTGAAAAATAATATAATTCTTGAATCCCCGGTTGAAGAATAACAACCTGTTAATATATTCTTATACATTCAAACTTAAATTCAAATTCTTACATATTCTAACAGACTAATAGTCTTATACATTTTAATATAATTATACATATTCTAAAAGAACATCAACAAAAATGAATAAAATTCTTAAAAATAACAACATTCTTAAATTATGAGTGAGATCAAACTTTTATTTATTTTTCAAGTTATTCCTATCATGTATTCAACCCATATTCCATCCATTCATATCACAAATACAAAAAAACAAAGAATGGTTAAAAGCATGTTACTTGCAATTCCTTTCACTTTATATATGATGACAGAATATGTATAATATGATAGAATCCATATAATACATTCTAACAGAATACATAAAATACATTCTAACAGAATACATAGAATAC